AATAGAAAACCCAAGGATAACACAATACAGATGGGGGAAATGCCAGGAGTCAAGAAAGGGGCACTGAATAGGGAAGTGGAAAAATCCATGTGACCCAACCTTGTGGAGCACACACATTTCAGCCCTGCAGGGAGGAGCCATAAATGGTATATTGCAAAGAGTCTAGATAATCGAGAGATGGTGGTTGAACCTGTAAAACCGAAAGAACCAAACAGAATCAGATCCTGAATGATAGTATAAAAAAGTTTCACTCCTAGAACAATGACAAGCCCTTCACTATTGTTCATATATTCTTCTTAGATTACACTTTTAAGATGCTTACATGCATTCTTCAAAGCGCTTCCTAGAGAGTTAACGATTTAATTACCTCAAGAAGTCTAAGAAATAGAAGCATTATTATTACTGCTTTCTAAATGAGGAAAAAAAAAGCAACAGGAAGATTATGGAACTTGGCTTTAAACCACAGTGCAGCTGGCACGTGTGTAAGCTAGGTTGATATCTAATGGTAGTTTTTCAAATCTGGGCTCTTAACTACTGAAATAAATGCTACTTAGTATTAGCAGCAAAGCCAATAAGTATCAGGTAAATAATACTTGAATAAATAATATTCTGATTGAATAGCCATTTAAATTAAAAACTTTAATGACTACAAATATTTTATTGTTGTAGTCATCTTTTCCTTTCAATATAAAAGCTCTTCTCACTTCTTTGTACTATAGAACGGTTCTTGCATTTTATAAAAATTTGTGTGCAATCCATTTTCAAACCAAATTGAAAAAAGTGCAACATCAAATTCATGTTATGTCAATTATTTTTCTATGAATAAGATACTTTTTTTCCTTATTAGCTTGTTCAAAAAAGGAAGAGATGCTTTTTAGTGTGTTCTTGGACCACAGAAAATGCCCATGTTCTTGCTTTAGTTATTCTTTTAGAAAGTAAAAACACAAAAATTGATAGTAAGTTTAAGATAGTACCATCATGTATTTAGAACGTTAAAAAATAAAAAATAAAAAGAAGTATATATAGCTTTATTTTGACCATTTACTAAATATTCTTTAATAAACTGAGCTGTAAGTTTATGAATAGGAAGTAAAGTATATCTATTAAACTGAAAAAAAGGGCTGGCATTGTGGCTCATTTGTAGAGTGCTCGCCTACCACATGTGAGGAGGCCCTGGGTTTGATCCTCAGCTCCACATAAAAATACATAAAGATATTGTGTCCAACTACAACTAAAAAATAAATATTAAAAAAACTGAAAAAATGTTTTATTTGCAGGAAATAGATAACCACTAAACATATATCATGCATATGTACATGTACATATATATGTATATATGTATGTGTGGCATGAACACATTATATCATATAGATTGTATATCATATATATTTCCTTACTTCCACTCAGAATTTTAATCTTGATGATTTGGAAATTTAAAATACATACATAGAGACCTCAGATTTAAGTCAGATTATCATGGAACAAGCACAGATTATTAAGAGAGTTCATGGGTCTAGACAGTTCCTGCCTCATACACCTGAGGATCTATTCATTCTCCCAGTGGATAAAACCCTCCAACCACCTGGCTGTGTCTTCCAATGATTATCTGTTAGCTCCCTCCCTATGCTATGGCCTTTTTTCTTTAGGCACAAGTGGCACCCAGGTCTTGCTGCTGTTTGCAGGTTGTTCCCATTGATTTGTATCTTGGGCTTTAGAGGGGAATATATAATTTTGTGTGTAGGTTTTTCCATGGCTGGTTGACTTTGTTAACCAGGTGCTCTGTTTTGATGTGAAGACTTGGGAAACACTAAAAGCTATTCTGTCACTTTCATACCATCTATCAGAATTTACTCTCATTTTTTTTATTATTTTAAAGAGGTCCACTGATTTACAATTTATAATTAAGATGCCATTAAGTTCACCTATATAAAGCCATATAAAGTTTAACATTTAATGATTTTAGTGTATTTATGAAGTTGTGGAACAATCACTGCAAACAATATTATAATATTTTCTTCTTATAAAATAAACCTTATAAATCATTCTCTCAGCCATACATAATTTCTAATCTACTTTCTATTTATACATTTATATAATCTAGACATTTAATATATGAGGTATTATCAATTGCATTTTTTTCCCGGTGTTTTAGATGGAATATGGCAGAAATAAACATTATTTATTTTTAAGTTCTATATCTCAACTGGAGAATGGCAACAATTTCACAATAAATTTTATTATAACCTATTTACATATGATTTCAAATTAGTTTCCTAATAAAAGGCAATAAAACAAGCTTTGAATATGTGATACAGTAACTTTGCAATGTACCAAGAGTATTACAAGAACTTCACATGTATTAACATATTTAATGTTCACAGAAACCTATGATGGGACTACCTGTTTATCATCTTAATTTTACTGAGATGGAAACTGAGGCAAAGTGAAATGATGAAATTTCCCCAAGCTAAGTGGCAGAGCCAGATTCCACACCCAGGTATCTTGTTTCAAAGACTCCTTGTTCTTAACTATATGCTAAATTCCTCCCTGACTTATAGGTGTTCTGTCAAATACCATTCTCTTCTAAACTGGCAACAGTGGAAAACAACTAAGGATGGCATAGTCAAAGCTTCTTCCCATTGATCATCAGACATATGAGTGGTGTATATCTTAAAACTAGGGGATTTCCAATATCATTGGTTTGAGCTCCATTCATAGTTTCCAAATTTTCTCATAATACTTACAAATAATTAGTTCTACCTTAACTAAGAAATACTTCAAAAATACTCCTTATCATACTAAGCTATTAAAAAACAATGACTGTATTGGTGCCATTCAATATTGATTGATCATATTCAACTGTGACAACATTAGTCTCTTTATTGAAAACATAGAAAGCATGTTAGACTTAAATATAATTTATCAATAACTATAAGACATTAAAATGTCACCCAATAAGATGAGTATTGGATTGAGGGGAATAAAATTACTTATTGTTACATAAATTATCACACGACTTTAAAACAGGGAAGGGAAAAAAACAGTGCAAAGTTTTACATGAGCCAGGCAAAGCTGGAAAAATAACTCTCAGTTCCCTTCTGTCCTGAATCAACCCATCTAGGAAGCATTCTCCTTCCCTTGAGAGGAAGGAATTCTTGTTGAATAAAAGCTTCTTTCTTTCTTTCTAAAATCTTAGAAAAAAAAAACTTTTAAAGAATTTTTCCTCTTCAAGTTGCCAAAATCATTTATAGATCGAGTTACAAATTATCATAGAAAATCAACATATTACCAGGAAATTGACTAGGAAAGAATTTAAGAAGCACATTCTCATGTCTAAGATTCCTTTTTCATGATTATGTGTGGGGAACCACATTTCCTTTGACACTCTACCCCAAACAGCTTCCAGCTCAGATTTTGACTCCTGCAGAGCAAACAGATACTGAGCTATATGCTCTCTGGATCCTCAGGGGCACATGAATTAAGATCTTATGTAACATATACAAGGTAGCTGAGTAGCATCCACCTCTTCTGGAAAGGAGGGTGGGGGGTAAGATTTTAAAGGATTTATTTCTTGTGAAGCAGAAACCTTTGAAGCAGCACTGCTCATAAAAAGGACAGATACTATAACATCACCAAAAACTAAAGTCGCATTTTTGAACTGCCTGAGTGAAAAGATATTTTAATACAATAAAATTAAACAGTATTCAGGTTTAGCTCTTCAGTCCCAGAGACTCGCCGCCAAGTGAATCACTATAGCAAGCCACAGAAGGCACATCCTTCATCGGCAGAATGTATCACACAGGACTATTTTGGAAATCAAATGGAATAATTCCCACTAAAGAACTCTGCAAACTATGAAATTGTACAAATGTATTCATAATTATTTTTGACTTTTTATGGATAGTTTTATAAATAAAATCTAAGTGTAGTTATATTTCACATTTAAAAGTATGATAAAGGATAGCAAATTTTTTTCAAGTTATTGTTTGTTCACATGCTGGAATAGCATTTTTAAATCTCCTGAGCATAGTTTTCAACACAAGTTTTGCTTGAATTTATTTCTCAGCTTCTAATCTTTTTTACTGGCTCATTTTTCACTAATTTAAGCTTAAAAAAATAGATGAATAGATGTAACTCTTTTTTTATTTTTATTTTTATTTTTTGGTCCCAGGGATTAAACCCAGTTATGCTTAACCACTGAGCCACATCCCCAGCCCTTTTTATTTTTTATTTTGAGACAGACTCTTAAATTACTTAGGGCCTTGCTGAGCTGCTGAGGCTGCTTTGAATTTGCAATTCTCCTGCCTCAGCTTCCTGAGCCACTGATATTATAGGTGCACACTACCATGCCCTGTTGGGTGTAAATCTTAAACTTACATTTTACAGTGTGTTGGAAAAAAAATTGAAAGAATACATCCACGTGTTAGGGGATAGTGTAGAAAGAAGAGGGGAGTCCTTTCTGTAACTGATGGAGAGGTATTGCTATCATCTGCATATTTATTTTCTCCTTAAAATTACATTTTGAACTCCTACCCTCCAAGATGATATTATTAGGAAGTAAAGCCTTTTTCAGGCAGTTTAGGTCATAGGAACTGAGCCTTCACTAATGGAATTAGTGTCTTTATAAAATAGGCCCAGCAAAGCTCATTTGCCCTTCCAGAATGTGAAGACGCAACAAGAAAGTTGTGTAAGCCAAGAAACAAGCCCTCACATGTCATGGGATCTGCCAGCACCCCACCCCTCAACCAGTCTAGGACTTTCCAGCCTCCAGAACTGTGAGAAATAATTTTAATAATTTTCGGTTGCTGATAAGCCACCCAGCTTATGTTATGTTGTTACAGCCTGTCAAATGGACTAATACAGAGGTTAGCTCTTAACATGTGATGCAACTTTACAATTATAAAGTTCTACCTGTGAAACAATTTGTGTGTGCATACAAAGTACACAACATAGTCTTTTATAACTGTGCTTCCAAATAGAAATGATCTCCAGAAACTTACCAGTTGTGCAGTTTGTAAATTCAATATCATCAATTGCAGCTCCTCCTCCCAGGTCCCTTGTCCTGGTACCTTGAAAGATAACTTCAAAGTTTCTCTGCTTTCCTAGCAGAATGACAGCTTTTTGCCATTGATTACCAGGGTTCTGTCTGCTTTCTTGCCATACTTCTGAGAGTCCTTTATCTGTCTGAAGTTAAAGAGGGAAATAATTAAAAACAACAATGACAACATTAATAATAAATACCCAGTTATTTAGCACAAAACCAACTGACCAATGAAAATTCGAAAAACATTGGAACGCTGATAAAATGTCTTTAACATTGTTTATCATTTATGGTTAGTTCCCCCCAAAACAGTATTTGGTGCTAGGTCACTTTGATTTTAGGATAAATATATAAGGCCCTTGTCTAAAACTTGTAATCAAAATATTGAAACAGAAGGGAACATCTAATGGAATAGCATCCAGAAAATCAAATGAGATGTTCCAACAGATTAATACTGTACCACTATGAAACATATAATTTACAGATACTTTGAAGAATATAAACCAAAAAGAAAAATAAATGTCTATTAAAGAGGGGGTTCAAAAAGTTATAAGTTCATGGTTTCATGCTTTGAGAAAATTAATATTAATAAATATGAATAATGTCTTGTTCTGTTGCAGAAGAAACAGATACTATGTCATATGATTCTTTCTCTGGGTAATAGAAAGTGTAACTATGTATCAATTAACCTAAAATTTACTTTATAAAACAATTATCAATTTATAGATGGAGCCTTCAGCATTTTTCTGAAAACAATGATGAATCTACACTCAGAGTCAAGTGACTTCTACATGCAAGGGGATGTGAAATTCACACTTAATTAATGGAATGTCATATCTTTATGGCAACTAAAGAGAAGTTCTTTTCAAGGTTAGTCTTTGATTCATAGTGATGTTTTAGTGATTT